CTCACAGAGCCCCAAGGACGGACTAATTACCTCCAGCATGGGCCCCTAACAGTGGGACTCTGTTTCTTTCACAGCTCCAGCAGAGACCAGGGGAAAATCACCTCTCTCTGCCCCCTCACAGAGCCCCAAGGACGGACTAATTACCTCCAGCATGTCCCCATAACAGTGGGACTCTGTTTCTTTCAAAGCTCCAGCAGAGACCAGGGGAAAATCACCTCTCTCTGCCCGCTCACAGAGCACCGAAGGACGGACTAGAGACCTCCAGCACCAGTCCCTAACAGGGGGACTCTGTTTATTTCACACCTCCAGGGCGGAGACCGGGAAAATCACCTCTCATTGCCCGCTCACAGAGCCCCGAAGGACGGACTAATTACCTCCAGCATGGGCCCCTAACAGTGGGACTCTGCACCTCCAGCAGAGACCAGGGGGAAATCACCTCTTTTTGCCCGCTCACAGAGCCCCAAGGACGGACTAATTACCTCCAGCATGGGCCCCTAACAGTGGGACCTCCATAACCTTGCACACCCTGAGTCCCCGGGCCCCCACAGTTAAGCACTCCCCCACGGACTAAACACAGGTATTCACACCCACCAGAACCTCGTGCCCCTGGTGACCTTACAAGGGGGTGGTTTTATGGTGCTTCTGTGTCCGCCCATCAGCATCCATATTCGGCCTTCTTCACGGCATCACCCCCCCTTCTGGGCTGGAGGGTATTCTCGTGCCCCTGGTGACCTTACAAGGGGGTGGTTTTATGGTGCTTCTGTGTCCGCCCATCAGCATCCATATTCGGCCTTCTTCACGGCATCACCCCCCCTTCTGTGGAGGGTATTCTCGTGCCCCTGGTGGTCTTACAAGGGGGTGGTTTTATGGTGCTTCTGTGTCCGCCCATCAGCATCCATATTCGGCCTTCTTCACGGCATCACCCCCCCTTCTGTGGAGGGTATTCTCGTGCCCCTGGTGGTCTTACAAGGGGGTGGTTTTATGGTGCTTCTGTGTCCGCCCATCAGCATCCATATTCGGCCTTCTTCACGGCATCACCCCCCCTTCTGGGCTGGAGGTTCAAACACTTTAACTTTTGTTCACCCTCCTCTGGCTTACACCTCCTCCGCCAACACTTGAGCGCTCATCACAGGGTTCAGCACCAAGGAGAGTGCCTCCCCGGTGCTGATGGAAAGTGGCACTTTTTCTGCCCCTGGTAACCATCAAGGTTATTGTTTTTTTTTTTTTTTTTATTTTATTTTAACAAAAAACACAGTACACAGAGCCTAAAACATAAACTATTTACACGTACTACTGCTGCTATAACAGTACTACTACATTTCTTAACCTACGTTTTAAAGTGCAGTTATGCGCCCTGGAGGTGTTGCACTATTAACAAAATGTATGCCCAGGATTCTGGCACCTTTCCTGGCTTGTAAAGTGCAGTTATGCGCCCTGGAGATATTGTACTATTTACAAAATGTATACACAGGATTATAATAATAATTATATACACGGTATACATATTCACAATGTTTAGCGGGATTCAGGGGACCAAATTAGGCGTCTAATTCTTACGGTGCACCAGGGCAAACAGGTTGAGTCCACGGCCCCTGCCCCATCATCAGGAGTGTCAACCAGCCCCCGGTCCCGACTTCATTGGCCTCTTTCCCTCCCGCTTCCGCTTCCGCTGCTGCTGCCGCTCCAATGACCCATCAGGTGAAGATGATAGAGCAGTACTGTTATAGCAGCCCTCTTCGGAGGTCTCCCCATCTGACAGCGGTAGACATCCTTCTGATGATGATGCAGCTGCTGCCGCATCTGATGACGCCCTGAACATGGAGCGGATTCTCAATGCCTCCTTTATACCTGGCGCATTCGCGTAGAACCGGTCCGCCGTGGTTACGTCGTGACACATAAACCTGGCGAGAATCGACCGGCTTTCTGGATCTTGGTGATGCTTGATATTGTCAGCCAGGGCAGTGCGCAGGATTGTGAAGGTGACGGCTGTTTCTAGCCCAGCATCAGCCCATGCCCTCTTCAAGTGAGCGTTCAGGTTCTTGGAGGCCCGATTCCCCCTTGTGAAAAGGAAGAATTCATTCTGAGGACCCAGCAATGCCTCTTTAATCCCCATCCACCGCATGACCCAGCTAAACTCCTCTACTGTAAGCGCCAGCTGTGCTTCGCCATATGTCTTGGCCGTCTTGTGATCCTGCACATGGATGATGTAGCCCTCAGCAGTTCCCCTTATGGCTGCCTCTAAGACCTCACTGTTTTTCATGTTTGCGTACACGCCCGTACGGTGGCCATACAGGAGGCTCCAATGGAGGGTGAGATAGCCATAGAGAAGCTTCTGGGTGGTTGAGGTCGGCGTGCCGGCCATCAGGTCGAGGAGCTCCGGGATGCGCTTCTCAGCGGCCGCCATGGCGGCGAGAAGCTCCGCCTGGCTCGGCAGACGATCCAGTTTGTTCCTCTTCACCTTAAACTGATGTAGAGTGACTGCCTTATTCAAGTGTTTCATGTTGGCTTTCACCTCTCTCATTATGTGGGTCATATCAGACTGGGTGAGCTTGCACCCCCGGGGCTTTGACTCAGACATGTACCCCATGAACTGGTGCACATTCTTCAGGAAGAACTCTGATGTTGTGACTGCCCGGCCCGGCTTTACAATATACTCGCTCCAGCCACGGATCATCTTCATGTTTCTTAGGAACAGCCAGTCTGACAGGCGGTTAACACCATGGGCCATGTATACTATGAAGTTCTTTATCCGGCTGATCTTCGACACAACATTGTCTTTCTGTTTTTACTGTCGGAAGCGACACCCAAACAGTGATCCAAGTATGTCTGAAGGTACGCCTCCATGCTTCTAGGCAACGTGATTTCACGCATGGTATTCCCCCGTCCACACCCAGTGGACCAGTAATTTGAGGAGAGGGCAAGTCATTAGCCAGCTTAGAGGCACGGGTCTTCCGGCATACAGGGGTCTCGCTACCGGAGGCTACTGCAAACATGACAGTTTCCACCGGGGTCTTCACAGGGGTCTCGCTACCGGAGGCTACTGCAAACATGACAGTTTCCACCGGGGTCTTCACAGGGGTCTCGCTACCGGAGGCTACTGCAAACATGACAGTTTCCACCGGGGTCTTCACAGGGGTCTCGCTACCGGAGGCTACTGCAAACATGACAGTTTCCACCGGGGTCTTCACAGGGGTCTCGCTACCGGAGGCTACTGCAAACATGACAGTTTCCACCGGGGGTCTTCACAGGGGTCTCGCTACCGGAGGCTACTGCAAACATGACAGTTTCCACCGGGGTCTTCACAGGGGTCTCGCTACCGGAGGCTACTGCAAACATGACAGTCTCCACCGGGGTCTTCACAGGGGTCTCGCTACGGAGGCTACTGCAAACATGACAGTCTTCACCGGGGTCTTCACAGGGGTCTCGCTACCGGAGGCTACTGCAAACATGACAGTCTTCACCGGGCTCTTCTCAGGGGTCTCGCTACCGGAGGAAACTGGTAATATGACAGTCTTCACTGGGCTCTTCACAGGGTTCTTGACCGGTCTCTTTCCACCGGAGGCTACTGCAAGCATGACAGTCTTCACTGGGCTCTTCACAGGGTTCTTGACCGGTCTCTTCCCACCGGAGGCTACTGCAAGCATGACAGTCTTCACCGGGCTCCTCACAGGGGTCTCGCTACCGGAGGTTACTGGGGACTGCATGACAGTCTTCACCGGGCTCTTCACAGGGGTATTGCTGCCTGAGGCTACTGTGTTTATGCCGGAGGTACTTGGGATTGCCAGGCCCTTAAATCGTATACATTCGTCCTCTTCCTCAAGAACAGCAGCACTCTGCTTCCTGGGTTTTAGCTCCTTTTTCAGCCTGGAGCGCAGGGTCTTCACCTCATCATTGAGGGCATCCTTCTGAGCCCTCAATGCCACATTTTCCAACATCACCTGCCTGCAGTCCTCGTTGTCACACTCGGTATGTGGGGAGAAGGGTGGAGGGTGCCCGGGGTATTCCTCCTCATTGTCTATATCCAATGATGTAGCCATTCCAATGATGGGGTAGTCTCACGGAGGTCATGGAGCAACTGCAGTGCCACCACTATGCTTCAGCCTTGCCATGACCTGATGTGCCTCATGTCGGGACAACTCAGGGTGGTCATGTTTTACATGACGGTCCAGTCTCTTCCCAGCGTACGAACACCCAGCGATGGGACAGGGTTTGGTCCGAACATTTATCCTTCCACTGGCTATTTTCAGGAGGATTCCCCTCTCCTCCAAGTTCCGCACTGCATGCTTGTGCTTAAGGTGTTGTTCAATGCCAGATAGAAGAGTCTGCACACCGGGCATTCAGATGACATCCTTCCTGAAACACACATAATGAATTTGATCAAAATTATGTTATAGTTCTCCGTTTATATGCGTTAGCGTGAGCGGTGGTTGCGACACTGGGTCCGATGCATCAATTCATGGTGCATGGACGAAGGGAAGTATTGGGTTACCACCGGGTCAGATGGTCCCACTTCCGCACCAACGC